AGAACATTTATGCTTTGCCATCACAGGAATAAACTGCATTTTAAAATACATTCACATAAAAAAATCAGTTATTTTAAATGGTATAATATTTCACATTATTGCTGTTTTACTCTATTTTTGATCAAATAAATGCAGCTGGTAGTGTAGTGTAAAGTATCTTTAGTTAATGTGGTATGAACAAACTTAATGAGTCGTAATGAGTCAATCTTAAGGAGAGGAAACGGATGTGAGATTACTGTAGTAGTATTTTTCTCATGAGAAACATATGAGAAGCAGGAGGCTTTAGCAAACCCCCTTATTTGCGCTTCATTAAATCTCACTAGCGCCTTGAAGAAGTTGAGATATTAAAAGAGAACGCATCTCTGAATTTTTTTGCTCTCATTCCTTAATCTATGCCTCTCTCCCTCAGGACATGTTTGAAAAACCATCCCTGCCTGAGTACAAAGTGGCAGCAGTCCAGAAGTCTCGATTCATCCTGCTGCATTATAGTGTGTCCAAGGCGTTGTGGGATTGGATGATTCTACTGGCTACATTCTATGTTGCTGTGACCGTGCCGTACAATGTGTGTTTCACAGCGTACAGTGATCTGGAGACTGCAGGCAGGAGCACGATAGTTAGCGACATCGCAGTGGAAATGCTTTTTATTCTGGGTGAGTTTACTAAGAAAGCAAGCCTTTGAACTGAAAGAACATTCGAGTAACCTTGTAGAATCGGATGGTTTATCATCAACACATAAAACTTCAGTTACCACCTGTAATATGTGAGTGTATAAATGCCTCAAAAGAGACTCAAAGTAAATAATAATTTAAAAAATAAAATAAGACTTCCAAGAAAATGTCATTAATCTTCTTTCTCTTTCAGACATCATTCTTAACTTTCGCACCACCTACGTGAGTCAATCAGGGCAGGTGGTGTATGAGCCTCGCTCCATCTGTCTGCATTATGCTACCACGTGGTTCTTCGTGGATCTGGTGGCTGCTCTGCCCTTTGACCTGCTCTATGCATTTAACATTACTGTTGTAAGTTCACATGTGTGAATATAGAAATCATTTTATTTCCCAATCATATGGCTTATTTAAAAATAGTAGAATGGGGAGGGTATGATGGTTCAAAAGAAAACTCCAGAGGTCCTTTACAAAGAAGTTACGTGGTGGTACCATGATCTAGACTACAGGCCATGGTACAGAATGATTAACATTTTTGTTTCCAAAGTACTTTTTTGTTTGTTTTTTGGAGCAAGCAAATGATGTGATTACAAGGTATTAATATTTACACAGGCTATTGACACACACGTTTGTGCTTGTTCAAGACGTCTCTAGTGCACCTGCTGAAAACTGTGCGATTGTTGCGTCTGTTAAGACTGCTGCAGAAGTTGGACAGATACTCACAGTACAGCGCCATGGTACTAACGCTGCTCATGTCGATGTTCGCTCTGCTGGCTCACTGGATGGCCTGCATCTGGTACATCATTGGACGCAAAGAGATGGAGACCAATGCCAATGGAGCCTGGGACATAGGTAAGATATTCAAACACTCTGATGAGTTAAATAAATCTTTGAAAGAGCTGCTTTGGTGTTCTTATCAAGTTAAATGGGGTGTTTCCTTGAGTCTCACAGAACGAGATTTTGACTTTCGGCATAATGCCACATTGATGCTTATTCTGGCCAAAAACTCCCACTTAGGAATAGGATAGGAAGAGACCATCTGACCAACATGCAAAGTGACCAGCTTTTGATCAATAGCATTTTTCTTTTGGCTTTTGGATCATTGCAGAAATAATTTCAGTGACCAGCAAAAGTTTATGATTCTTAAACATTTTGTTCAACACAACCTTTATGAATTTTGAAACTTAAATACAATTGCCATTAGTAAAAAGCTAAATGTAGGCTTTAAACTAACTACACCAACAGTTACATGACTTCAATATCACCACCCATTCAAAAAAACCATCGACTTTAGGACGATGGAACCACTAAAATGCTAACTCGTTTCTAAGTTTTAGCCTTCAAAAATTATGTAATGCCTGGAGCTGAACTGAATAAACACATGGGTCTCAATCCATCACAAGGTGCTCATTTACTGTAGTCTGAGACCAGAGACTGGTTTGTGTTTGTGGATCTAAAAAACGTGTACATGTAAGCTTATCCCTTATCACACACCATTGAGGTTCGTATTTGAAGGAAAAGGTTATTACTGTAATATAAGGTTCTCCACTTAAGGTTATTTTTGGCTTCACGCATGTTCACAATGTGCAGATTATGCTTCGTTCACATTCTGAACTACCTTGGCAATTGGTTGGTATTGGCGTAGTTGGAGACTAGTGCATTATACATTGTTTTCTTTTGTAAAATTTCTTTACAAAACAAGAATGACAGCTCTCAACTGTTTGGAATTCATTGCAGTATGTTACATGCTCCATGTTTACATTACAGTACAAAATTATTCATAAGACGTCTCATTTTGTATAGGTGATCAAGATTGAAAGTCTAACTAGTAGGTGTTCAGCTACATACAATTGCTTTTCATTTTTTAGATTTAGAATATATTTTAGTGTTACTGTAGAAATGTAGCAAATTTCTGTCTTATTCAGTTTTGTATTATGTTTGATTTTTAAATTTTTATAGTTTTGACATGTAGTACATTGAGTTTTGGTGGTGGTTGTGCCTGAGTGAGAAATTAATTCATGTCATTTGAAAGATGTGGTCACTGAATGTATTTTGTGCCAAATCAAAGGAAAATGATCCAGAGTTTAACCCACATAGACTACTCGTGTGCTCACTGTGTGAAGAGTTTTGAAAAGTATTGAGAATTGAGTACTAGAGCTTGTAGAAAACTGTAAGAAGTTCAGCTCGACTCAGTAACTGTGTGCGGCTGTGCGCATTTCACAGTCAAGCGCGTGGAAGCTATTCATCAGTTTTTGGCATGTATGAAGCTGGGGAAGAGTGCCTTGGAGCCGATGGTGGTTGTGTCTGCCATCACGTCGTTGGGGACTATTGCATGAGACTTCTGCTGCTGGCTGAAATTAACTTGGTTCACAGTAAATGCTGCCCCATGCAAACTCTGTATGTGCTCTGAATTGGAGTTGCTAATACATTTGGGTACACAACATGTGCCAGGTTAACTTTTCCATTGCATAATTTTGTGAACAAAGAATTCCACCCCATTTCTAATAAAAGGCATACATATATATATATATATATATATATATATATATATACAGGTGCATCTCAATAAATTAGAATGTCGTGGAAAAGTTCATTTATTTCAGTAATTCAACTAAAATTGTGACACTCGTTATTAAATAAATTCAATGCACACAGACTGAAGTAGTTTAAGTCTTTGGTTCTTTTAATTTTTGATGTCAATTAAACAAAGAATCTCCATGCACTAAAATAGAAGCTTGATAGTTTAATGTTGAAAGTGAAGAAATAAATATTTGTAAATATATAATACCATTCAAAAGTTTGGGATCAGTAAGGTTTTTAATGTTTTTTTCTTTTTAAATAAGTCTCTTATGCTCATCAAGGCTGCATTTATCTGATCAAAAATACAGTATAAACAGTAAAATTGTAAAATAATATTACAAAAAATAAAGGTTTTCTATTTTAATATATGTTTATATTATTATTTAATGTATTAAAATTTAATAAAATAATATAATTTATTAATGTGGTGGCATAGCTGAATTTTCATCAGCCATTGCTCCAGGCTTCAGTGTCACATGGTCCTTCAGAAATCATTCTAAAATACTAATTTATTATCATGTTGGAAACAGTTGTGCTGCTTAACATTTTTTAGAACCTATGATACTTTTTTCAGGATTTTTTGATAAATAAAAAGTTAAAAAGAACAGCATATATTAAAAATCAAAATCTTTTGTAACAATATAAGTCTTTAATATAACTTTTTATCAATTTACCATATCCTCAATGAATAAAAGTATTAATTAATTAAAAAAAATGTACTGAACCCATACTTGTTACAAAAGATCTTGTTGAAGAAAAGTCTTGCTGAGCATAAGACAAAAAAAACATTAAAAATCAAACTTTTGAACAGTAGTGTAAATATTAGTATTATAATTTTACTATTGTACTGTACAGTAAATTATAATTATTATAAAATTTTATCATCATCATAATTTACAATTTTTGAATACTAAGATTTATCTCTTTTCATTTTTTGTTCACTGAAAGAGGTCT